TGCCATCCTACCCTCTTTCAAGCTGAAAGTTTTTATCTATTTTACTCTCTGTTCTATCATTAATTCAAAACCATGTCATCCACTGTTCTCATCTGGCAGAGTCTTCTTCCACCACCTCCGAGGAAGCAGCATCCTGCCTGGTACATACCTCTGTAGCACCACAAAGGATTTATTAGTCCAATAAATCCAAGAAAGCAAGAAAATCCCAAAGATGTGTCCAAGCCTTCACTGCGTTAACCTGATGAGAACTGCGCTTCAATAAAAGAATGGGACCTCTTCCGAGACTCGTCTTCTAGACTGAATTATATTCTGTCTGTCATCATAAGAACTACGCTTTTCTATAGCTATATTTCACATTACATCATCCTCCTTGTTAATATCCTTCAGCGAATGCCTCCTTACTGCCAAAAGGATAAAGTTCAAATCATAACTGGTTAACATTCAAGATCCTTCACAACCTGGCCCCGCCTACTTGCTGACATTATCTTCCAGTCTTCTGCTGTATCATTCTCCTTTCTAGATCACTAGTTATTCCACCAACTCCTTCCCTCACAAAGGCTTTTTGGATTCCCAGTTCCATGCCTTTCCTCAAGATGATCCTCTAGCAAAACTTTTATGTCGAATTTTGGTTGCCAATGTCAGGCCCAGGACTTGGCACACACTTGGGACTTACAAAGATTTACTAAATTATGAAGGTGTAAAGATGAGAGACATCTGAAAACCAACTTCACCTCTTTCACAATTTGGTCTAAGGTGGAGCCCATGAGAGCAATTCCGTAGGACTAAGGAATATGGCTGCCAATGGGGGCAACATGATTTTTCTTTTATTCTAATACATTGTTCTCATGTTTGGGTGTTTCAATCTTTCTATATTTAATGTAAAAATATTTCCTTTTCCTCCTAAAAACCTACTCTTAAAAAACATTGTCAATACATGACATTCTAGAATCAAGGAAGCACACTGTTGACACACATTGGCTTCTGCACAGGTCCTTTGGAGTCCGTGGCTGAATAGTTGACACCTCCTTGCCCATTCACAACTCCAGCCCCTCTGAAGGCACTCTGCTCTCTCTGGTCCCCAGAGTCTTGTAGCTCACTATCACGTAAGAGCAGAGACAGAAAATAGAACTCCATTCAATAGAAGTTAATCAACATACAGAGACGACAGCTTCCTGGTGAGTCAAGGACAAGCAAGATCTTCACAGTGATGTCACCAGTAGCCTCGTGCAAGCCACTGACCGACTCTCCACTTCGCTTAGCATTCAGGTCAGAATGAGAACACGCCACAAGACGGGCTTTGATCTGCCACAGCTGGGGTTCTTCTAAATATTATAAAGTTCAAGTCTGATCTGTTAGCTGAAATCACTGTCTTACTTCCCCTTTCTCCCTTCCTTTGGAAATCTTCTAAACGGGGCCCCTGTCTTGTGATGCTTGGCTGTCTTCACCCCCACCGCATCACCCAGAGATGACACGAGATATCCTCTTTCGTTTTGCATCACCATCGGTTGTCAGGGCTCCTATAAGATGGCACTGCAGCTCCTGGATAAATGGCCACTTCTGATTATTAGTGGAGGATGTCAACGAGGCTCAAAGCATTTCATCCAGAATCTTGCTCTTTCTCTAAATCAGGGCAGCTTCATTAAAGAGAAAATGGACACAACGACACTCAGCACAGTCACAGCCCTCTCGTGTGTGGCCTTACTCCTGGTGGACATCATATTGTGTCATGCCCTCCTCTATCAGATCTTAAACAAAGGTCACAGCCAAAGGAGGAAGAGTGATGGTTCAAAGTCTATTTGCCTATGTTCTCAAAATTCCTCCCTGGAGAGCCCAATCTATTATAATATCAGAAGTTAAATTGAACTATTATCCCAATGGGTGTTATTTATTAATTTTTCTATTCTTTCTCAATCACCCATTCTTCTTCAAAAGGTACAAGAGGGGAAGGGATGAGAAGAGGACCTTTTGGGAATCCCACTCAGGCTGACGCTGTCTGCTGTGGGCTTGGCCATAGAGCTCTTGTGCATGTCTATATTGAACCCCCTCTGGCCCCTCTCTGCATCTTTGAAACAGAAAGAATAAAAAGACACTGTTCTTTCCCAACACTAATTGGACACTGTCTGCTCAGAGATTTTGGTAAAAGATAAATGATTAAAAAATCATGTATTCTCCACGGGTCCTTTGTGAATCACAAGTCATCAGTGCCAAGTGGACATGGCAGGAAGCTCTGCAATGCCAGAAGACAGAGGGTAAGTGGAGTCTGACACTGTGGGCCTTCGGCACTATCCCTGTGCTACATAGAAAGCCCGAAAGAATGGGATTCAAAGGGGCAGACTGGGAAAAGCCCGCCAAGGGACCCTGCTCTACTCGCCAGCACACAGCCCACCCCTGTGCAGCGGGACAGGCTCCACCAAGCCAGAGGAACAGGAGATGGGCACAGCTGGCCCAGTGCTGGGCGCAATTCCCCGCTTCATGGCTACCTCTCCACTTCCCTGAAATACGTGACAAGAGCGCAGTCGGAAAAGGATACAATGCTTAACCTTCCGTAAGATGAAGTATTTCAGCATTTCATCATTGGCCTTGTTTCCAGAATACTCTATCTTTTTTTTGTTACACAAGCACAATCAGTGTAAAAGTATAGTCATTGGGCTGGAAAATAGCAAATATCTACAGAATATGCTTAGACCTGTTCAAAAATACTTAAAGCAACAGCACATATCGCTTTCAAGGTACCTGATTAGTTTACTAGCACAGCACTGCTCAACCACAGTTTACTTATTCTTTAATGTGGCACTGGGGATCAAATCCAGAGCCTTACACATGGTAGCTTCGTGCTCTCCCCAACCTCAAAGCTGGTTTCTTTAAAAATAACCACAATATGATTTTTCAATGATCCTGTCCCATGGACCAACAGAAAAATAAGGGAATGCCTAAAGGATTGCCTTTTTGTTCCAACAGTTTGGAGAGCCCTTTGGGATAAATCTTGCAAGAACTGCATCCAACAGACAAGCCCATACATTACAGAGTTACATCATCAGCTGGCATCCAAGGAGAAGCCAAAGGTTAATTGCTACGGTTTACTGAACCATTCCAAATGACCCTGTGCAAGAAGATTTAACTTGACAACTGTTTGAACTTTACAGTCTGAAATTTCATCCACTTGTTTCATGAGTACTTTTTAATTACTCCCTGGGGATATTAATAATGTTTTCTTTTTTAAAAAATTACTCTCTGGAAGGGGCAGTGGTCTCATGTTTTCCTCCTTCCTTGAGATAACTACAACCATGCCTGCCTAGCCCCTGAATGCTTCTACTTTCAGTACCTTAAGTAATTAAAATAGAAAACAGAGATATCAAGATAGATTTTTAACAACTCAGGACCCTTGGTCAGACCACCTAGTCCAAAGCCTCTTCCAGCTACTCAGACAGCTGGGTAACAGTGAGTGCGTTATTTCCCTCCCCTAGCTATTTCCTCACTTATAAAGCATGATTGGTGGCTGTAAAGTAGTAATGGTACCAATCTCTTGAGTCCAAATTGGAAAGATGGAAATGGATAATATATGTAAATATTTACCTTGGAGCCTGGCATACGATGAACACTCAAATAATGTTTTTATTTTTTCCTTTTTGGTATTCCTGGGGATTGAACTCAGGGCCTTTACCTTGAGCTACAGCCAAAGCACTGCACTCCCCTCGCCCTTTTATTTTCATTTTAAGACAGTCTCACTAAGTTGCTAAGCTGCCCCAGCTGGACTTGAACTTTCACTCCTCCTGCCTCAGCCTCCCTGAGTACTGGGATTACAAGCATATGCCACCAAGCCTGGCTATCATATTTTTAAAGTGTTACTGGTTTGACTCCATGAACACTTTTGGAGTTGTGTTCCTTGATCTCCCGCAGGGAACAAGGCAGAAATCAAGCAGCAATGCGAACTCCTACTTGCCTATACCCTACCAAAGGCCAGGCAGCTGCAGCCTGGACCAAGCTTCTCTGCAATCAAGAGAGCAAACACGTGTGCCTGCAGAATACACAAGCGCATTGGTGCAGTCACTGCCCCGGGGGAACTGAGCTTCCAGTTAAACTGCCAGGCACCTGTGCAGGTTTATGGTGGGCAGAGAAAAGCTCTGCATCTTGTGGAAAGCTACAAACGTACAGGGATTTCTGGGAGAGTTAAGATAGCAAATCAGAGAGAGCCACTGAGTGATGCTGGGATGTTACATTCATGTGGCTTAAAATGGAGATGCTGGGTGACGACAATCACTCCTAAAGAAGGGGAGCAAAATACCAGTATGTCAAAGCACAGAGGCTGAGCTTTACAATACCACAAGAATTGCAATCTTAGACTCTAAGAATAATCTAGTCAAAAGGAAACCTTTAAAGCGCCTCCTACAGCAATGTGCTCACAGTAGGGACTGGACACGTTCCTAGCACACATGCTCCATCTCCTGCGTCTTCGTGGCTGGATCGCCTAGCCTGCCACAGGATGGAGACACAGCAGATGTAGGGAGGAGGCCGAGGGTGTCCCAGAAAGGGGGTGACACCTGGACACCACCGCCTAAGTCACTTCTTCCTGAGCCCTTCCTCTCCAGCTGCCCCTCCCCCGCCAGTGTTTTGCGGGCATCACTGTCACAAGACACAAGATCAGGAGCCTGGGGACACTCCTGCTGTCCAATGCCCATATCCGGCCCGTTGTGGCCTTCTGTGTGGCCTGAAACCACAGGTGGCCCGAAACCACAGGTGGCCCCTAGAATTAACCATGCGAGGTTCTTTCTCGGCCCTTCCCAACCGTCTTCGTGGGATCAGGCATCGCGAGCCATCTTTAGGGACAGGCAGGGGACAAGGTCCTTGGGAAACAAATCCTAGGCTGCCGGGTACCTGGATGCGACCCGGGGTTGGCGAGGGCAGGAGGGCGGGTCAGGTGCCTGGAGCGATGCCCCCGCCCCCGCTCGCGGCTCGGCTAGGTCCCGCTCAGCTCGGTCCCGCGGCCCGCCTCGCCGGTTTACCTTGGCCCAGGACACCTCGTAGGGGACCCGCGGGTCCCAAGGCGCGGGGCAGGGCAGGTCCACCGTCCCGGAGCAGGCCACCTTCACCTCTCGCGTGGCGGGCGCCAGGCTGCAGGCTGCAAGAGAGGGGAGAGCGTGGTGAGCGGGCGACAGACGAGGCGTGGCGGGGAGGACGGTGACAGGCGCCCCGGGCCCTACCGCAGCTCAGGAGCAGGAGCTGGAGGCCGCGCGACATGGCTGGAGGTGCTGCTGCCTCGCTCGCGCCCGCGCTCTTGTACCCGCGCGCGGGGACTTCCTTGCGCCACCGGGGGATCCCCGCCCGCCGCCCGGCCGCCCCCGCCTGCGTCCCCGCCCGGCCGGGCGCCCGAGTCAGCGTCGCTGCTGCGGCTGGGCGGTGGCCACAGCCATCCCCGCGGAACGCCCCGCGCCCCGCGCGTGGGGCTCTGCACACCGCGCCCCCACGGGTGATCCCGGCCCCGGGACCCTCAAAACGCAGCTGGGAACCAGGCCATCCCGCTGCCCGTGCCCATTTTATGGAAGGGAAACCAAGATCAGAGAGGGTGGGCAGCTTCCCCCCTGAAGCCCAGCCTGTCCGTGCTGACGTCACTAGCGAACCCAAATCCACACTTTTCACCAGATTCTGGGATAGGCAGAGTCAACAGACTTCCATAGGAATGGGATGAGTATGCAGTCTCCTTGTTTTCCCTGGGGCTCTCTTCCGGCCAGTTTAAATTATTTCTGCAAATGGGAACCTCTCCTGCTAAAAAATAATATGCACACACACAAAATTTTTGGAAAAGGCAAAGAATTCTAGGAAGCGGTGAATCACATAATCCTTCCAATAGTAGCTTCCATTAACATTTTGGTAGACTGACTTCAGTGCATAGACAATATTTTAATAATTTAATTTTCATATTATTCTGCACCTTGTTTTATTTTAGCTTAATATTTTGCAAGCAGTTCCACAACATTGAAATTTTCAACAGTATCTTTTTGACATCCATGTAATGTTCCATGTTCAGTTGTACCACTAGAACCAATTAGTGTTTGACATTTAGGTTATTATTATTATTGTTACTAATACTTTCAGCAAAGCTGTGATTGCTATGTGGCACTTTAGTGTAGACAAGCCTTTGCTTTAAGATTATTTTCTTAGGCTTAATGTCCAGAGGTAATTATGCTAGATCTAGGGGGAGGGGTTCCAGTTTGTTAAATATTCCCACTATGAACTCCAAGGAAATGGCCTCAATGTATATCCCCACCTGCAATGTAGGAGAGTGCTAGTCTCCTGTTACCATAACAACAAAACTGCTATTTAACTTAGTCCATTCAAGAGGTTAAAAAGGGTGGGGACATGGGAGGTTTTACTTTGTCCTTGCCCATACTGTCCTAGCCACTCTTTAGTTGCTGAGACACAATACCCAGCACCCACAAATTAAAGGAGGAAAGGGTTTTTTTGGCTCACAGTTTGTAGAGATTTCAGGCTATAGTCAGCTGGCTCCAAGGCAGGGGGGCCTGGCAGAGGGCCATGGTGGAGCAGAAACAGTCTATGGCAGGGCAGGAGGAAGCAAAGAGATCAAGGGAGGAAGATGGGAGATAGACCCTTCTAGGTCACACCCCCAGTGACCCCCCTCCTCCATCCAGGCTTTGCCTCCCAACATCACATTTACCTGTAAATTCATCAGTAGACTAATCCAGGGATGAGTATCATGCCCTCAGGCTCCAGTCACCTCCCAAAAGCCACACCTATTAGGGCATGAGGCTTTGTGGGGCCATCTAATATAAACCATAATATGCACAGTCACTCCAGTTATATGTGAATGCCTTTCCCCCATAACCCTCACCCAATTAAACTTTTAATTAGGAAGATCTTAGGCACACAAAAATAAGCTTAGAAAATATCAGAATGGAACAAATCAGTATACAATGTATTCCTGAGAAAGAAAATCTTACTAAAATGTTTGAGGTTCTCAAGATTCCCAGGCTGGATCCCACAATTGGGCATTTATGCTTCCTCCCAGTTTCCTCCACTGTATACTAGTGCTGGAAAGCCCAAGCTGGGCTAGCCCTGCTCAGCATCGCTACCATATCCTGTGTTCCATATTGATATCCAGTCCATGGACCTATTTGTACCCTCTCAAGAGATCTTAGCCTGGTCAGGTTGAGTTTTATTCATTTTTGCTGATCTCATGAGTATAAGATATTAAGTGCTTTCTGCTTAATTTATCTTACACGGGTTATGGATTTTCTGAGGCCATTTGGTGTCATTTTCTGATTCTGCTCATTCATATCCTTTGATCTTTTCCATGAGAACTGTGTAGCAATTATGTGCCAAAGCCTTTCTTGCTTATATGCATGCCAAACTCCTGCTCCAAGTTTAAGATTTGTATTTTCCACTTTGTTTATACTATCTTTAATGTACAAAAGAGTCTTCAGAAATATTTTAATGTAATTAAATGTATCCCTCTTTTTAAAATTTATGCTTGTGCTTCTGGTGTTGTGTTTAACAAGTCCTTTCCTACCCTGAGATCATTAGAACATTTTCCTTCATTTTCTTCCAAAACTTTTAAAGTCATGCTTTTTCATAGGTAGGTCTTTAATTCATTTAAAGACATCTATCTTATTTTTTCCATATGGATAGCAAGTTGTTCCAATGCTGCTTCTAGAAAGTCTTACTTCTTTATATATTTGAAATGAAATCTCTGCTATTTTACAAATTTACGTACATGTGGGCTCTGCTACTGATTGTATGCTGTCACTGAGCTAATATTACACTTTCTTCTAATAGTTTAAGTCTTGCAAAGGTGGTAGAGTGAGTGCTTATTTGTTGAAGTTCCCCTTCAAAATTGTCCTGAAGTTCTTGGTTCTTTACTCCACACGAATTAGAGTCACTTTGCAACCCTAAACAAAAAATTAGTTTGAATTTTAATACAAACACATTCAAATGAATAGTTGCTTAAAATGAACATATTTAGAAATCAATCCCACAATCCATCAGTACTAGGTGTGTTTCTATTCATTTAGGTCTTCAAGAGTTTTAAATTTTTCACACTCAAAGATTTCTCATATCTTTTGATAGATTTATCCCTAGATACTTTTACTGTTTTGGTTGCTCTTTTCACATATATATTTTCTAAACTATGTTTTCTTGGGTATCGGATGAATAGAAATTTACTTTCTTATTAGTGTTAATGATATATTTTCAGACTCCACATTCAGGTACGTCTTTAGTCATGAATTACTTGAAATTTTTCTAAATATACGGTTTGATTTTAACTGCTGCTATTGGTGTCTAACCTGTGAAGAGTTTTACGAGCACAGTTTCTTCAATTCTTTGTTGCATTTCAGGAATTGTTCTGTGGCCTGCTATGTGATCAACCTTTTGGTGTCATGTGTTCTTGGAAAGAATGTGTGTTCTTGACATAGGTCTTTTTGACCAAATTTGCTCATTGTGCCATTCAGACCTTCAGTCTTTCTTTCTTTCTTTTTTTTTTTTTGGAGGTGGGGTCATTATAAACCATCAAATCCAATGAAATATGTTCAGTTCTTCCTCTGTAACTGCAAATTGTCCATTTATCTTTGAAATTCTGTCAGTTGTTTGCTTCATATAATTTTACACTGTGTTTGCATGCCTACATTTACATCTTTCCAATGAATCATTTTTTTCTATCCTCATTCAGTGACTTATTTTTTCTAAATATTCCTTTTTACTGAAAGACAATTGTATCTATTCCTAATGTAGCTACATCACTTGCTTTGAACTGATATTTTGCTGGTATTTTCCATACTTTTACATTCAACATTAATTTGTCTTTATTTTCTAAGTGTCTCTTTTTTAATTGCATACAGGTAGATTTTCTAATTCAATATGACTGACAATCTTTATTTCTAATTGAGAGCTTAATTTGGCTTATTCTCTAAATTTTGCTGTGCTTGGATTTATTTCAGTCATCTTGTTTTGTGGCTTTACACTTAATGCAATTTTTTTCTACTTTTTTTCCTTTCTTGCATCCATTTTATTGATCAACTTTTATATATTCAATAGTGTTGTTCCTATTGATTTGGAAGTCATACATATGATTTCTATCCCTAAGAGATTACCTTTACATATTCTAATAAACAAACTTGTTTTCATAAATTTTGTAATCAACCAATATTGCCACCCTTCTCCCCAAAGTTCCGTGATACCTCAACTCTGTCCTCTGTCACCAGCTTACACAATATTATAACCAGTACCTTGACTTCACCTTGTTTTTAACACTCCTTAGCTAGTTTTTTATGCATTAAAAATATGTTCAGATTTAATATAGCACATCTCACTGCTTCTTTTGGGGGCCAATTTCTTCTGAAGTATTTCTTAAGCAAATCTTTGAGCAAAAATTTTTATAGTGTCTGCCTTAGTTACTTTCTCATCAGAGACACAATACCCAATACCCACAATTTTTTTAAATTTATATATTTATTGGTACATTTTAGGTATACAATACATTTACATTTATCATTGGGTGTTTGTACCTGAACATGATGTATCTTAGTTCTTATTTTTTCTCCCATTACCTGTGCACCCTTCAACCCCTCCACCCTTCCCTATTTACACAGACTTTGATTCTATTTTTTTTTTCTTTCTCATAATTTTTCCTTTCCCTTCTTCCCTTCCAATACCCACAATTTAAAGGAGGAAGGGTTTATTTTGGCTCACACTTTGTAGAGGTTTCAATCCATAGTTGGCTGGCTCCAAGGCAGGGTGGTGTGCCAGAGGGGCCTGGTGGTGGAGAAACAGTCCATGGCAGGCAGGCAGGAAGCATCAAGCTTTCCTTCTTCTTACCCTTTTTATTCCATGCAGGCTACAGACCTTTTGGTGGGGGCCGCCCACACTCAGGGTAGGTCTTCCCTTTTCAGAAGTCCCTCTCCACACCCAGAACGATGCTAAACCAATCATGGACTAATCCAGTATCACACACACAGGATCCAGTATCCACACCCATGATCCAGTGCTTTGAGGGGACATGATAAGCCATATCGGTGTCAGGTGCTCTCAATTTTCTTCTGAAAATTTTTATTTTCCCCATATTTGTAGATGGCTGTTTAGTTGTAATATAAGATGATGGTTATTTTCTCCCCATACTTTGACTATATTATTTCATCATCTTCTGATTTCTTTTGTTGCTATCACAGAGTTCAGACAATCCGATGCTCATTTCTTTGTAGGCAATCAGCCTTTTATCTGTAAGTGCTAAGATCTTGACCTTTGTACTTGGTGATGTTTTAGTTATACTGTGTTGTGTTTAGTAGAGAATTTTGTGTCATTTAGCCTGTGACCCACTGAATGAGTGAGGAATTTATTAGTTTGTTTTGCAGTATTGGGGATTGAACCCAGGGCCACTGTGCCACTGGGCTCCATCCTCTGCCCTTTTTTTATTTTTTTATTTTGAGAAAGGATCTCATTTAGTTGCCCAGGGGCCCCTCTTACTTTCAATCCTCCTGTCTCAGCCTCTAGTAGGTGGGATTATAGATGTCACCATCACTCCTGGGTAGGCAATTCTTTTTTGTTCATCCTCACCCTGGGGTCTCAGATCCAACTTCCTCCTCGAGGAAA